GTTGCCTTTCAAGTACGACTTCCTTCTTGATTTGCTTTGAATCTTCACCAAGGTGCAGACGCTACCCATCCCTGACCCGGAATAAACCAAAAGAAGAAGCCAAATCTTGAGAAAACGGTCGTTAAGTTCACCACAGGCCCAGCTGCACGGCACCAGTGCCACCGGTGATATACTTCACGGGCTTCTTCGCCCCATGTCCAGATTCAACCTTTCTGGACACCCTGCCCTTGAGCAGCTTGCCTGGCGAATACGTGGCTTAGGGTTCAGGGCTTCGGCTTGTGTTCCACATGTAGCGGGTGCTCCTCGCTAGAAACCCCCCTAAATGCCACAAAGGGATCCTAAACGGCTCTCTATTTCTGGGAGGCCCCATGCGGGGTGTGAAAGACAAGGTTGTCCACTGACCGCCATAGTTATGTGATTTTTTGTGTAGATGATACATATATACTTATATTCAGCCACCGTCCCGCCGGAAGACCGCGGCAAAGGGCATTTCATTACATGTGTCATCTCGTGTCATAGTTTTCTTCCCTTCCGGCCCATGCCCCTACCCTACCCCAAAACCCTAAATCCTAAACCCTACCCTAAACCCTAACTAAACCCTACACCCTATTCTTGGTTTCTTTTGCAAGCGCTGCCTGTCTGGGCGCCGACGACACTCCTCCACGCCGAAGAGGCGTCCTCACTCCTGAACCACGCCACCATGGACGGCCCAGCGGCCGGTTCAGGTGCCTGGCACAAAGCCAAGGATGTGGGGCTTTAGGGGTTTAGGGTTTAGGGTTAGGGTTTATGGAAATTGTGGAGGGCTTAGGTCCCAATAACGTTTTGACCGACAGTTTTGACCGAAACGTTTTGACCGAAACGTTTTGACCGAAACGTTTTGACCGAAAGGGGAGGGGGAGGGGGGGACGGGGTTTAAGTAAATTGAGCACTTGGCCTCCAGAGAGATGTGTTTTGGATTAATATACTTAAACTCAGCTTGTCAGCTGTTTAGACAAGTAACTTGGGAAAATCAGAATGGTACCACATACAATTTCTATTTATTTTGTCTTGAGGGTTTAGGGTTTAGGGTTTCGGGTTTAGGGTTTAGGGTTTAGGGTTTAGGGTTTAGGGTTTAGGGTTTAGGGTTTAGGGTTTAGGGCCCAGCCATAGGGGGTTCACGATATTCGGGGTACCTTTTTGGGGTCTGGATCCTACTATGTGGGAGTCCATATTCGGGGTCCCCTATTTGCGCAAACTCCCATGTAAGAATTTGTACATCATCTCCAGAAGCCCGAACTCTGGCAGATATGACTCGGTGACTATCCTGTAACAATCACCACAACGAACCCCCAGACTCTAATGCCACAACCCCTCAACCCTAACCCCTAAACCCTAAACCCTAATAAAAAAAAAAAAACCCAAACGCTAAACCCTAAACTCAAAACCCAAACCCTAAACCCTAAACCCTAAACCCTAAACCCTAAACCCTAAACCCCAAACCCCAAACCCTAAACCCTAAACCCTGGCACCGGGCCTTGGGCTCGTGCATAAGCACAGACGCCGGGATCGTCTTCTTCTTGTTGTCGGTGTCTGGCCCTTCGTACCGCATCTTGAAGGCTTCTCCGCCTTTTTTCTCGCACATGTCCTGACAAAAATGGCGGATGTTTTGTTGGCTTGAGGTTCAGGGTTTAGGGTTTAGGGTTTAGGGTTTAGGGTTTAGGGTTTAGGGTTTAGGGTTTAGGGTTTAGGGTTCAGGGGTTTCGGAGTTCAGGGGTTTCGGAGTTCAGGGGTTTACGGGGTTTAGGGGTTTAGGGGTTCAGGGTTTCGCGTTTCGGGCTTAGGGTGGCTTTATACTAACAAGGTTCTCTCGGGAAAATGCTTCGGGGCAGTGGTAACTCAAACTGACTTCTAATCAACCCTTGTGTCCACGACCAGGTAGTGGGCACCTGCGGAAAGGAACTGCTTGCCGCTGCTCCTTTCCCTTTCACCATGGCAACCGTCGTTGTCGACGATCTTCTCCCCATTCAGGTACATCAGAGAGCCTCTCAGCACAGGGACCCGGGATCACCCTAAACCCATAACCCCAAACCCCAAACCCCAAGCCCTAAACCCTAAACCCCAAACCCGAAACCCTAAACCCTAAACCCTAAACCCTAAACCCTAAACCCTAAACCCTAAACCCTAAACCCTAAACCCTAAACCCCAAACCCTAAACCCTAAACCCTAAACCCTAAACCCTAAACCCTAAACCCTTCCCCAGAGCCATGGGACCATCATCTGAGCTGAGGAAGAACTTGTAGTCGCCCGAGCTCCTGGTGATGAGATGGCCTGCGCACCTGCCACAGGGTTTAGGGTTTAGGGTTTAGGGTTTAGGGTTTCGGGTTTAGGGTTTAGGGTTTAGGGTTTAGGGTTTAGGGTTTAGGGTTTAGGGTTTAGGGTTTAGGGTTTAGGGCCCAAGGTTTAGGGTTTAAGGGTGCAATACTAGCAGGTAAAAAAGACCTGTCCTGCCTTATGCAGACATTACTGCGTTGTCGCACGTTGGGGAACTTTCCGTTCTCCTGATCCGCATGCCGCAACAGCAGGACACATTTATTCAACCTTTTCAGAAAGAACTGCGGTCCATGAAGATCTTCGACACAATCTCGGAATGAGAGCGCTTCCTTACTATTGCAGGTTCTGCACATGCATGCCGGATGTACAGACACAAAGCCTCAATTGGGATCATGGTTCCATGCTGATGCGTCTTGCCACTGTACTCAAAAACAAGATGCACACTGAGCTGCAATGAGACCCTTGCTAACAAATATCGGTTGTAATTATTTCGACGGTTGTACCTGATTCCACGCAGCATCTAGACCCATGAAGTAGCCGTCTCCCTGTGATGCATGCACAATTTGCTGGGTTGGCCTTTAAACCCTCTGAAAGATACATATATATATATATATATATGCTACCCCCCCCCGTAGCGCCTAGGTTTTACTTAAAAAAGAGTGTGTTTTTCGTAGGATTTACAAAAAAACGTGTTTTTTGAATCGCATGAACGGAATGGAGGATACTGCCCAACACATAGGCGACAGACGCAGCAAGCAGTGCAACACGGCGTGCGACGGAATCATGTTACACGTGTTTTTGCTTCTGTGCTAGAAAAGACAGGCCTGTAATTAAACTTGTTCATACACTACATTAATTAAAACATAATGCGTAATAGGGAACCTTACCTAGTGGCTTCACTTAAGCATTCATTGAATGAGCTAAAACATGTTCCTTCTTCTTTTCGTGAACAAGCACAGTACTTTATTTAACTAAACTTTTTCGTTTCTGGAAAATAACATACGTACAGTCTTTCCAACAGTTTGATTAGTCTTCTGAAGGTGTTTTTGCTTCTGTGCTAGAAAAGACAGGCCTGTAATTAAACTTGTTCATACACTACATGAATTAAAACATAATGCGTAATAGGGAACCTGACCTAATGGCTTCACTTGAGCATTCATTGAATGTGCTAAAACATGTTCCTTCTTCTTTTCGTGAACAAGCACAGTACTTAATTTAACTAAAGTTTTTCGTTTCTGGAAAATAACATACGTAAAGTCTTTCCAACAGTTTGATTAGTCTTCAGAAGGGTTAAGTAAATAAATTGAGTTCGTAGACCAATAATTAACTAAAGGAATTCAATGAACTAAACTTACTAAGAACAGTAACTACGGCCTTTTGTTTGCTGATATTACCCTAGTCAAAATCATTTCAATTGTGGATTTAGTTTACTTAAAGGTGAAGCAAATGAATGAAACTAATTAGTATACCCTTAACTAAACGAATTCGATAATTTAAATTAAACAAGCCACGATCCTTAACAACAACTCAATTGGTTCAGCCTGACTAGATTAATTACTTTAAACGAATACTTTAATAGGCCTTCCCAAGAAAAAACTACATTTAGTTTCTTATTCTAAGAGGTAGATGGCATTCAACTAACTAAATGTCTATCCTTTTTTTACTTCAACCTCAACCAGACTAAATGAATGATAGTTGTAAAGCAAATTAGATTAATTAAAGCCAACTTATCAGGAAACTTGACCTCGTCGCGTCATTTAGGCATTACATCGATTAGATAAAATGTTACTTACATCACAGTTTTTAACAAATAGTTGAATTAGCTTTATTGCTGCTGAACTGTGCTCTTTGAACAAACAAAAACCAATTCTGGAGGCCTATACTTACAAGGCAGGCCGTCACGAAAAGATTGGCTTTTTAGGGACAGTACAGCACTTTGGGGATCTGAAGGGCTGAAAGTGCTGTACTGTCCCTAACAAAGCAATCCCAGAAGCGGAAAACGCTGTACTGTCCCTAAAAAACCTAAAAAACCAATTCTGGGGACCTGTACAGGCAGCCCCTCTTCAAAAGATTGGTTTTTTAGGGACAGCACAGCACTTGCAGCACCTCAGACCCTCAAAGTGCTGTACTGTCCCTAAAAAACCAATCCCATAAACATAAAGTGGCGTACTGTCCCTAAAAAACCTAAAAAACTAATTCTTGAAGCCTATACAGGTAGACCCTCACGAAAAGATTGGTTTTTTAGGGACAGTACAGCACTTTCAGCATCTCAGGCCTTCAAAGTGCCGCACTGTCCCTAAAAAACCAATCCCAGAAGCAGAAAGTGCCGTAATGTCCCAAAAAAACCTACACAACCAATTCTGGAGGCCTATACAGGTAGACAATCACGAAAAGATTGGTTTTTTAGGGACAGTACAGCACTTTCAGCACCTCAGGCCTTCAAAGTGCCGCACTGTCCCTAAAAAACCAATCCCAGAAGCAGAAAGTGCCGTACTGTCCCTAAAAAACCTAAAAAACCAATTCTGGAGGCCTATACAGGTAGACCCTCACGAAAAGATTGGTTTTTTAGGGACAGTACAGCACTTTCAGCACCTCAGGCCTTCAAAGTGCCGCACTGTCCCTAAAAAACCAATCTTTGGAAGAGGGCCTGTCTGTATAGGCCACCAGAATTGGTTTTTTAGGTTTTTTAGGGACAGTACAGCACTTTCTGCTTTTGGGATTGGTTTTTTAGGGACAGTACAGCACTTTCAGCACCTCAGGCCTTCAAAGTGCCGCACTGTCCCTAAACAACCAATCCCAGAAGCAGAAAGTGCCGCACTGTCCCTAAAAAACCTAAAAAACCAATTCTGGAGGCCTATACAGGTAGACCCTCACGAAAAGATTGGTTTTTTAGGGACAGTACAGCACTTTCAGCACCTCAGGCCTTCAAAGTGCCGTACTGTCCCTAAAAAACCAATCTTTGGAAGAGGGCCTGTCTGTATAGGCCACCAGAATTGGTTTTTTAGGTTTTTTAGGGACAGTACGGCACTTTCTGCTTCTGGGATTGGTTTTTTAGGGACAGTACAGCACTTTCAGCACCTCAGGCCTTCGAAGTGCCGTACTGTCCCTAAAAAACCAATCTTTTGAGGAGGGCCTGTCTTGATAGGCCTCCAGAATTGGTTTTTTAGGTTTTTTAGGGACAGTACAGCACTTTCTGCTTCTGGGATTGGTTTTTTAGGGACAGTACAGCACTTTCACTCCTAAACCCTAAACCCTACAAGAGGCAAGTCATCTGAGGCCGGTACCTGAGACAGGGAAGAAAATGAGACCTAGGTACTTGGGGGGGGGGGTACCATATATATATATATATACATATATATATATATAGGGACCCTTATAAACCCAAATAAGGAGAATACAAAAATGTTCCATTAACCAACCTACATAGTTTGGAACCATCCGGGGTTTGGAGATCTCAAACCAGTGTCAACTCGTTCGGAGGCATGGGGGCTTCGAGGAACAGGTGAGATGGCAATCTTATGCCCGGATGGGGCAGGAGGCATGTGAAAGCCCAAAAGTTCGGGGTTTAGGGTTTAACCCTAAACCCTAAACCCTAGCCCTAAACCCTGAACCCTAAACCCTAAACCCTAAACCCTAACTAAACCCTAAACCCTAAACCAAAAAACACCAAACCCTACATGCCAAACCTCAAACCCTAAACCCTAAACCCTAGACCCTAACTTACTGCAGGGTTTAGGGCTTAGGGTCCGGCATCGCTATCGGCTACCGCTGCCACGCGTCAGCTTTCCCAGGTCAGGGACTGCACACTTGGCTTGGTTGTAGAAGTAGTCGCACTCCAAGCCATCAGCCAAGTCCTGCTGCTTAGGTTTAGGGTTTAGGGTTTAGGGTTAAGGATCTAGGGTTCAGGGTTTAGGGTGTAGGGCTGGTTCTTAGTGGGGAATGAGGGAATGAGGTACCCTGTATCCCCCTTAATATATATATATATATACATATATATATATATGTGTGTGTGTGTGTGTGCACGATAAGGGATTATATAGGGTACCTCATTCCCCATCCACTGACTTAGGATATGAGGGATTGTACGGCCCGCGCGAGGGGGGGGGGGGGGGGGAAGGGTGATAAAGAGAAAAAGTCTCGGCTCGAGTTGTTGCAAGATCATGATAAGTATCCAGTACTCCGAGAACAGACTTCAAGAAGAGGCTCTGGCCAATGTGTACAGAGCTCAGACAAGTTATTGGTCGGTTTAGAAAAGCCGCTTTGCTTACCCCAAGCACAAAGTAAGGTGAGCCTCACAGCTTTTTAGCTTCCGTGATGTTGATATGGACCCTGCCTCAAAGACCGCTCACTGCATGGATGCGGCTAGTACTGGCAGCTAGCCATGTTATACCGAATTGCCGGGTAAGTCTCCAAGTGTTCTGGACGGTTTTGCGTGCCTGTTGAGGGAGAATCTAAAGGAGACAACGAAATGGAGTACTTCTCGAGCATGATACACTATACATTGGCTTGCGTTTGATGCCCCCTTCTCGTTTCCATTGCACTTCACATGACCCAGCAAGCTATAATCCAGCAACCATTCCAGTTGCCCCCAAACACCATCAAAGAATGCAAACGCGACAGACAGAATTCGTCTCCATGTGTGCTTCCACTTTCTATGCAGTTCAATCCAACAATTTCGCCCGAAACCCTAAACCCCAAACCTA